TCACCTGATGGGCTCTGGCGATCCTTCCACCTCAGCCTTCCAAGTAGCTGGAACTATAGGCGCGCACTACCACGCCCAGCTAATTTTTGATTTATTGTAGAGATGAGGTCTAGCCAAGTTGTCCAGGCTGGTCTCAATACTGCGGGCTCAGGCAATCCACTCACCTCAGCCTCCCAAAGCACGGGATTACAGGCTGAGCCACCGAGCCCTGCTTACAAAATTCTTAAAACTCATCTTTGTTGGGAGACAGGGTCTCATACTTTTCACCCAGGCTGTGGTGCAGTGGCATGATCCTGGCTCACTGCAGCCTCTACCTCAGCCCCGAGTGATTGAGACTATATGTGCATGCTACCATGCCTGGCTCTTTTGTAAAGATGAGGTCTTTTTTTTTTTTTTTGAGTTGGAGTCTCACTCTGTCACCCAGGCTGGAGTGCAGTGGCACGCTCCTAGCCATCGCAACCTCGACCTGCTGGGCTCAGGTGATCCTTCCGCCTCAGCCTTCCAAGTAGCTGGAACTATAGGCATGCGCCACCATGCCCAGCTACTTTTTTATTGTAGAGACGAAGTCTCGCTAAGTTGCCCAGGCTGGTCTCAAGCCCATGGGCTCAGTCCTTTCACCTCGGCCTTCCAAAGTGCTGTGATTATAGGTGTGAGCCATTGTACCTGGCCAGAGATGTCTTTATGTTGCCCAGCCTGGTCTCAAAACAAGGCTCAAGTGATTCTCCCGCTACCAAAGTGCTGGGATTTCAGTTTAAGAGAAAATGTAGCTTCTGTGTATTTGATCATTGACTTAATCTACTGAAGTAACTGATTTGGTTCCCACCCCAACTAGGCATACAAATGAAAAAGTGAACTAGGGAACATCAGTTTATCTACCTTCATACTTCTCCCATATTAGAAACTCCCAATACTTCCTTGTAAGGTGTGGGCTTCATTCTTCCATTCCTTTCATAGATCTCCTCACCCCCACTGCTTTAATCTTTCTACTTTCTCTGGCTGGAACATTCCATAGCCAATTATACCTTATTTCCAAGCTTAACCATTCCTAACTACACTATAAAGTCTGGTTAATTATGGTAAATGGCTTTGTCAAGATGTAAAGTCTTTTAACTCAGGTCTTCAGGTGGAAAACAAAGTAGCCACTATATGTACCAGGTTAATGAGCATTATAGAAATCAAGTCACTCATATTTACAGGAATGAATGACGGTGCTGCAGCTGTGGTTCTCATGAAGAAGTCAGAAGCTGATAAACGTGGGCTCACACCATTAGCACAGATAATTTCCTGGTCACAAGTAGGTGTGGAGCCTTCCCTGATGGGAATAGGACCAATTCCAGCCATAAAACAAGCTGTGAGTTTAACTTCTTTTTTATGAAATCTAACTTCATTCTCCCTGTTAGCCTTATTTTTTTTGAGTCAGGATCTCACTCTGTCAACCAGGCTGGAGTGCAGTGGCATGCTCGTGGCCACTAGCCTCAACCTGCTGGGCTCAGGCAATCCTTCTGCCTCAGCCTTCCAAGTAGCTGGAACTACAGGCGTGTGCCACCACACCTGGCTAATTTTTTGACTTATTGTAGAGATGAGGTCTTGCTAAGTTGCCCAGGCTGGTCTCAAACCCTGGGTTCAGGCAATCCTCTTGCCTCCGCCTTCCAAAATGCTGGGATTGCAGATGTAACCTACCACATGGAGCTAGCCTTAAGTGATCTAGTTCATTTAGTTGTATATCTTGCTTTTCCTACCAGGAAGAGTAGCAAGAACATTTACATCATATGGTTTTTATGGGAACCAATTCTGTATATCACCTGTACACACAACAGATGCTATGGCTCACTTTAACTAGTTGAGAATTTCTAAGGGATCTTTTAGAGCATATCCTTAACCTTTTGGATAGAACTGATATCACTGGTTTAGCATAAGAACCCAAAGTGTCAGTTTTTGAGACCCTTCAATATCATACAGCATATTTAATGTCAGCAGTGAAAAATGGTTTCACTTTAGCTTTTGCACTTAAGTTCTTAGACTGCTCATCTATTAATCTTTCCTTTAGGTTGCAAAAGCAGGTTGGTCACTAGAAGATGTTGATGCATTTGAAATCAATGAAGCCTTTGCAGCCCTCTCTGTTGCAATAACTAAAGAACTTGGATTAAACCCAGAGAAGGTAACCATGAGCAAGTAGTCCTGAAGCTTACCAATGTTTCTCACAATGCAATTTAAAGACTTTAAATAGGGCAATTAGATCAGGTATTAACCACTCCGAGACTCAGGAGTCGCTTACTGCTTCCCTAGGCAAACTTGACATTAGTTTACTTCCCACAGAGTATTTTAGATTTCTTAAAAATCATTTAAAATTCAGAAACAAGATCGTCAGGAATGATTTCACAAAGGTGTGAATTTATTCCTAAGCAGCTAGAATGAAAGTTGAAAGGGTAGTTTGCTGATATAACACTGAGGAAGAAGACATGTTTAGGATTTTATAATATGTGCACAGAATAAACAACCTAAGATAAATCTTTTCTTCCCCTTAGGTCAATATTCAAGGAGGGGCTATAGCCTTGGGCCACCCTCTTGGAGCATCTGGCTGTCGAATTCTTGTGACCCTGTTACACACGATGGAGAGAATGGGTGGAACTCGTGGTGTTGCAGCCCTGTGCATTGGGGGTGGGATGGGAATAGCAATGTGTGTTCAGAGAGGATGAACTAACTGCCTAGGCTCAAACCTCTTTTCTTAGACTAAAGTACCAAGTTATGATTTGTGAAATCAAAGGACCAAATTGTGCACAAAAAACACCTCCTATGTCACAAGAACCCAAGTTGACAGTTTGTTGTACTTTAATGTATAATACTCAAGACAATTGCATCTAACATTGTTATAAATAAAAGAAATCATATCAGTCATCAAGGGCTCCAGAGTGAACAGCATCTTCATAACCTCCATGCTTATCATCTTTACTTTCTGGATGCAACTTAATAAGATCATCAATTCGAAGAATGGTAATTGCAGCTTCTGTTGCAAATTTCAAACTCTTAACTTTAACTATGGTTGGTTCAAACACACCTGCTTGTTTGTTGTCTCGAGGCTTACCATTGATCAAATCAAGACCAATCCTGCAATTAACAAAATGAAAACTATTAAGTGGCTGCTTATGAGTTGATTAGGTAACCTATTCCAGCTACTCCCTTTAAATGGTTCACCTTTTGAAATGCTGAAACTTGATTTTAAGGTTTCACCTATGTCTCTATGGGTCCTTCCTGTAGGTAAAGCCTTTCTATCCAGGAGAGTTAGGAATCAGTTTTCAATTAAACATGCTGATGCTAATAATCATCAGTTATCTCTGGAATTATAGTGACTGAACAAATGCTTGCTGTAACTTTTTTTTTTTTTTTGAGTTGGAGACTCACTCCATCGCCCAGGCTGGGATGCAGTAGCACGCTCATAGCCACCCCAGCGTTGAGCTGCTGGGTTCCAGCAATTCTTCCGCCTCAGCCTTCCAAGTAGCTGGAACTACAAGCATTTGCTACTACACCCGGTTACTTTTTGATTTATTGTAGAGACAAGGTTCTCACCACGCTGCCCGGGAGGGTCTCAAATCCGTGGGCTCAGGCAATTCACTCCCTCGGCCTCCCTAAGTGCTGGGATTATAGGCTGAGCCACCAAGACTGGCCTATTGTAACTTTAAGTATTTGACACGTCTGTTATTTATGTTTGCTGACCCTGTAGCTAGCTACTATGCTTTTACTTATTTGTTGTTTTTTTTTTTTGAGTTGGAGTCTCACTCTGTTGCCTAGGCTGGAGGGCAGTGGCACACTCCCAGTCACCACAGCCTCAACCTGCTGGGTTCAGGCAATCCTCCCACCTCAGCCTTCCAAGTAGTTGGAACTAGAGGCACATGCCACCACACCCAACTAGTTTTTTGATTTATTGTAGAGATGAGGTCTTGCCAAGTTGTACAGGCTGGTCTCAAATCCATGGGCTTGGACAATCCTCTCACCTCGGCCTCCCAAAGTGCATGAGCCTGGCCACTACTATACCTTTTAATACTTTTAATACTATGTGTTTTAATACTACTATTTTCCAAAAGTCTAGAAAAGGTTAAAAAGATAAAATCTGTCACAAATTATTAAAATAGAACCAAACTGCTATACATGATACAGAGATGACAATGAAAAAGGGAAATTGTATGCTTACCATTTTAGATTTTTGCGTTCTGGGTTAACTTGAGCCTCATTATGAAAAGCTCTTAACTTTGCAACCAGATCTGTGGAGTCCTGGGCAGCATTAACTGCCAGTGTATTGGGAATAACAAGAAGAGATCTTGCAAACTCCGCAATAGCAAGCTGTTCCCGAGACCCCTAAGAAAAAAGACAATCAGGTGTCTTCACAAAGGAAAAAACATTAAAGCCCATGGCAACAGCTAAGGTCTCTCAGACCTTAATAAAACGCCAAAGATTATCTCCCTTGCCCTTCTTAAAAAGGAGTGAGTCTTACCATGCTGGTTGCATAGTTTTCAAGGTATATGGAAAGGGCTGCTTCTACTGCACCCCCACCTGGAACCACAGATTTCGACTCTAAAACTCTCTTCACTACACAAAGAGCATCATGTAAAGAGCGCTCCATCTCGTCACACATGAAGTCATTCGCCCCACGTAAGATAATCGATGCAGATGTGCGAGCCTTAGTGCTGTTAAAAGAAGCAAATTCTTAAAACGGCATTTTAATAAGTCCCCACAGTTATTTACTGCAAGTGCTCTTGATTAAATCCTAGTTACATAGGACATTTAGACATGTTGTACCCAAAACAATGTCTAGTCCACACAGAAGAGATGAAAATGGTTACTTCATCTCAATTTACAATGGCCTAATATTATTTTATCCCATGCGTATAACTGCTCATATCACTGGGAGACTATAGCAGCAAAAAAATGGGAATAAAATCTATTTTTACACAGCAAAATCTGCATAGCTTTACAATCCACAAAGGAGCCCTTACTTTTTGATTAAGATCAGTTCATCATCACAAATTCTCTCCTGTACTACCTCTTCTGCTTGTCCCAACATTGCAGCTTCAAAAGTTTCTTCGCCTTCCAAATTGGCCAGGGTTGCCAGAATGGTTGCTATTAAGAAAGTTAAAAAGGATCTGTAAATGTTGTTTTACCAAAATTCTAATACAAGTGCTATACATATTACAAGTTTGAGGCTTAGTTAGGTATCAGACAAGTAACTGTTGTATCCTAAGATAGAATACATCATTTTTCCTGAGTCAGGGTCTCAACTGTTGTCCAGGCTAGAGTTCAATGGCATGCTCATAGCTCACTGGAGTCTCGACTTCCTGGGTCTATGAGTAGCTGGGATTACAGGCATGCACCCTCATGCCTGGCTAATTTTTTTTACTTTTTGTAGAGAAAAGGACTCACTAATGTTGCCCAGGCTGATCTTGAGCTAATGGACTCAAGCTATCCTCCTGTCTTGGCTTCTATATCAACTTGTGATGTTAGCAAATTCAGTTCACTGAATATCCAAACAAACTTAGTAAGTTGAAGAACTTTTCCAGTCACATGAAAAAGGGATTCATAAATGTATTTGTAGCACAAAATATTAAGAGAGTATAAACATTTTTGAAACTGCTTCAAAATGACCTTTGCTATGGTTATGTGTAACTAAATATTTTCTGTGAGCAAGCAGAAGACATACCTCCAGAAGCTTTAGCAATGCGTTTAAGATCCCTTTTTAAAACTCTTCTAACTGCCATAGCTCCAGCCTCCACAAAATACTTCAGACACATATCATCAATTCCACCAGTGGTTAGAATAACATTGGCACCAGTTGCCAAGATCTTCTGAATTCTCTCCTTGGTGATATCGGATTCTCTATGAAATATTTTAGTAACCCAAAGTTATCACCTCTGATTTTTTTCCCTTATAATAACTTCCATTAAGTATTTATCACAAGATAATCATAGATCAGGTTATATTAACCTTTACTATTTTTGACAAGAATTTAAATTGGTCCAACTCATGGAAAAGTTCAAGAAATTAAAAATTACCACCTAGCTATTCCCAACCCTAATCTGTGTTACTAATCAAGAACTTCGGTTAGAGGTAACAGAGGCTCTGCTTTCAAGGACTGAGCAGGGAAGGGATTATCAATCTCACTAAAGAGCAAGTGCCCCTAAAGGGACATGCAGAGATTAGGAGTACATGAAAAGCATCAATCTGGCCTCGGATGTGGGACATAGAAGCCAGAAGAGGCTTAGAACTGAAAGCACAGAAGCAGGTAGGACCAGGAAATGAAGAACCTTGTAAGGTGTAACAAACAGTCTAGACAGCTAAGAAGCTTCATATTTTAAAGCAAAACTATTATCAAATCTGTTTTTATTTATTTTATTGAGTGGAATCTCACTCTGTTGCCCAGGCTGGAGTGCAGTGGCATGCTCATAGCTACTGCAGCCTCGACCTCCTGGGCTCAGGCAATCCTTCTGCTTCAGCCTTCTGAGTAGCTGGAACTACTCAGGTGTGTGCCACCATGCCTGGCTAATTTTTGGATTTATTGTAAAGACAAGGTCTCCTCAAGTTGCCTAGGCTGATCTCAACCACCTGGGGCTCAGGCAATCCTCTCACCTAGACCTTCCAAAGTGCTGGGATTACAGGTGGGAGCCACAGTACCTGGCCAAATCTGTGTTTTTAAAAGGATTCACTCATGTCAGTGTGGAGACTGCACTGGAAAGATAAATGGCTAAAGGCAAGAAGACAGTACTTGGAAATATACCCGATGAAGACAGATATCCTAAACAGAAAAGCCAACATTTATGGCTTGGGTAATTGGGAGGTATAGCCAGTGACTCCTTGAGTAAAATAAATACCAACAGTTTGGGGCAGGATGGGAAGTCAGAGTTCAGTTTGGGGGCAAGATTAACCCTTTGCACTCAGACATCTTGCAGCTCACCTACCAGCAACTCAACTGCACTTTTTTTTTTTTTGAGTTGGAGTCTCCTCTGTCACCCAGACTGGAGTGCAGTGGCCGCTCCCAGCCACCACATACTCAATCTGCTGGGCTCCAGTGATCCTTCTGCCTCAGCCTTCCAAGTAGCTGGAACTACAGGTGCGCACTACCATGCCTGGCTAATTTTTTTGATTTATTGTAGAGATGAGGTCTCGCCTGCCCAGGCAGGTCTCGAACCCACGGGCTCAGGCAATCCCCTCACCTCAGCCTCCCAAAGGCGTGGGATTACAGGCTGAGCCACTGAGCCCGGCGTCAACTGCACTTTTTAATAAAATAGTGAAAAACCAATCACTTCCCTGGGCTTGGTGGCTCAGCCTGTAATCTCACGCCTTTGGGAGGTTGAGGTGAGGGGACTGCCTGAGCCTGCGGGTTCAAGACCCGCCTGGGCAACTTGGCAAGACCTCATTTCCACAATAAATCAAAAAATTAGCCAGGCGTGGTAGCGAGCGCCTGTCCTTCCAGCTACTTGGAAGGCTGAGGTGGAAGGATCGCCGGAGCCCCGCAGGTCGAGGCTGCGGTGGCCGGAAGTGGCCACTGCACTCCAGTCTGGGTGACAGAGTGAGACTCCAACTCAAAAACAAACAAACAAACAAAAATCCAATCACTTCATATTAAATAGTATGGTGTTGGAACCAATTATTTTACTGTGGTGATATTTGAATTTTGGACATTAAGGAACTTATGACAAAAACCAAAATTTTATGTCTTATATTTTTCTAATGTGGTAATGTGTGAAACAGTCACTGATATACATTCAGGTTCACTGATACATGTTGTGCAATAGTAATCTGTTTTGACATTGTCCACCTGGTATTTTTCTATTTGAATAGACAATGCAGTGTTTTCTTCCTCCAACAATAATATAAAATTTATTGTCCAGTCTACTGTTCGAAGATGAT